AGATACCTAACACCCATTACTCTGCTGTTCAACAGTAGTTTCCTTTGCACAGAGAACTTAAAATCCTTCTATATGTATGTATATGCATGAATACATGTTTTCCTGACTGTCAGGTTTTTGCTTAAGACAATCACTTTCTAACCATCTTAGCAGAGGAAGAAAAGAAATATTGCCCCAATCCTGCTTCCTGCAAGTTTAGAGGGATATTTTTGGGCCTCGGATTTTACAAACGCAAATTAAAGCAGGGGGTGGGGGGCTGGAAATCTTGTCTTGGGAAGCTGTGTGACACCAGCAGGAAGGTCCAAAAAGGGGTGCTGGAAAGAGGAGACCTGCCAAGTTCAGCCCCGGTGCCCACAGGTTGAGCTGCTGTCTGCCGCCAGGGCCACGGCTCCCGACCCTCCTCCAGCTGTGCAGCTGGAGGCAGCAGCTGGAGGAGAAACCCTTCTGCACAGACACAGCCCCGCCACACATAGGCGTTTGCCCTCTCTTGATTTTTCCTTCTGTGAACTTTTTATTTTTTTCATCGGGAGCTGATTATTATCTAGCTGAAACGTATTTCCTTCTGAAAAGTGGGTTTGGTTTCGGTTGGGTTTTTTTCCCCCTATTCACATTGACATCTCTATTGGGAACAGACCTAGATCTGGACTTCTGCAGTTTGCAGTTTTTTCAAAATGTGGTGACATTGAGTTTCTTCTGCTCTGTATGTTTTCTTACCGTCCTTTCCATCACATATTTTCCAGCAATTTAGAGAGATGTAAGGAATAGCTTTTACACAATAGGCAAAGAAGCGGGGGATTATTCCAATGGTCTTGCAAGTTCTTCTTCAAAAGAGGAGGAAAAAAAACTGTGTCCTTGTGAGCAAATGATTAGAAGAAGACTGGGAATACAATAATTACCCCAAATGGAAACCCAGACCGCAGTCAAACAATACAGCTTTTGTAAACCGGCTCTGCCTGTAAAAAATCTAGGAAATCTCATAACTAGAGCTGGCGAAATCTTTTTCTTATGCAACGATATGTAAAAGGGTCCTGAGAAATGAGGAATAAACATGGAAACGCTGTAAAATAGCCTGATAATGAACTTGCTCTGAGCATCGGAGATCGCCTTGGCGTTACCAGCATGGATTCCTTCGACCACAAAGTATTTTCTCATGTTAAAGAATTTGGGACAAATTACATTTCGTGACATTGCGCCAATAAACAAGCACGTGAAGACAAATAAACCAGGACTCGCTATAATCTACCTTGATCGCTGTAGAATTCAAGGGGGACCAAAGGAATTGGGAGCGAGACAAAGTGCGGCTTTGAATGAATGTCCTTTATGAGGGAGCAGAGAGAAGATCATTTATATCCTTCATATTTTATAGTTTTGCCTCTAGGAAAGAAAAGACCAGCGGAGCCCCGACTATCATTTACTCATAATGATCGCATTCAATCTACTGATTCACAGTGAATCATATAATAAGGTTTCCATTTTGCGCATGGGGAGCAGAAGGAGGGGTGGTTAAACTTTAGTTCGCATTCATGCCCTCGGCCTCCTGTTTCCCTTGAACTGTCCAGTTCAAATGACTCACCAACGGGGCGACGCTTTTTTCGGCTTTTTTTTCTTTATCGCCATCCTCACCCTCCCCC